CAGGAATAATCTCAAATATGATTTGACCAAGGAGAAGCCTGGAACCTCCAATGAACATTTCTTTATTCTCACTCTAAAGATGAAAAGGACTCCTGCCGTGACCTACCATCACATGCAACTAAATACTCAGTGGCACTCATCATTCACTGCTCTGGACTGGTGACTATTAACTACTTCATCATCACTATTTCTCCTGGATATTTGCAACTGCAGTTTTAATCAGCTCTACAGTATTTTTTTCTGATATACAATAAGAATATGTATATAATCTAATGCTCTACTAGATGTCTCTCTCACTCTAATTTGGAAAGATATAGTTTTAAAAACATCCTCAGCTTCCTTAACAAATACAAAATATTTGGGGGGGGGGGGGGGGGGGCAATAAGAAGAAAAAAGGAAAAAAGTCCTCTGGTACTGAAACTACAGGACCTTACTGCTTGGCATATAAGCCACAGAAACCAGGCAATTGTTAGTCATGATAATTTCTTTTACAGCTCGAGACATTTCCCTCATGGAATAAGTGAACTGGCTTTTCAAAAAGACCTCTGAGCATAGCCACATGCAGCCATCTACTCAGCATCACATACGCAGTAACTCCAGTTTCCATTTCAGACATTCCAAAATACTGAAAAATCAATCCAGAATGTCCAATTTTCCTGATTTAGCATCCAACACTTGCTAAAATTTCCAAGAAACTGGTATTCATACAAATTGTGCCAAAGCTATTCTGTACAAAGTATTTTCTATTGCACTTTGGAAAGAACTGTGCACTGAAGCAACAAAGAATAAAACCCATTCCAAATCTGTAACCCAATAATACATCAAACATACACGCTAATTAATCGTATTAACAACAAACTTTGCTTCTGTGTCTCTGCTTATCAGTAATCTTATTTTAAATGCTTAAAAAACACCTAGAGACAATTTTGATTGTGAGAAACCATCTGGGTAGATGCAAACATGGTTGGATACTAGAAAAGTAAATGCTAAACATTTTTCAGGATGTGCATATGGTTACGGATATCTGATGCAAATTAATTAATTACAAATACAAAAAGAGGTAAATCAGAAAACCACTTTCCAATATATGGTAGGAAATGACTGGCTGCAATAAGAGACCATCTGGCATCCCACTAGATGGAGCTACGGACCTTGACTACACAGCCTAGAAAGCTGGTCAAATACTTCACTAATCCCCATGGCGCAGGAAAACCGTTTACAGAAGTCGAGTTAATTTGCCTCTTTCCTAATGGACACGCAAAAACCCGAGCCATTGTCCCAAGACATTTGTGCCTCGCAGCAGTGTCTGTGTAAATCAGAGGCACAAAGATGCGCTGTGCTGGCTGGCATGGCAGGGACGTCACCGGGAAGCCCAAAGTAGCTAGCTAGAAACAAGGCAAAAAAAAAAAATTAATGGGTTTGCATATTAAGAGACCACAACAACAAACAATAGGAACAAAGAGAATCAACCAGCTCGGTAAATTATGCAACCACTTGTTTTGAAACAAAAAGGCAGATGAAAAATAACTTCTGTTGTAAGCACAATTCTGTGGCTTTGGGGCTTTAGCTCTATTTGTGCTATTGGGTTAGGTGCAGTAGCAGAGAAGGTAGGTGATTTTTTAATTCATTTTTGCTGAGAGCTGCCTGTCACCACATTATGCACTACACAGGGCACGGATAGTCTGGAAAATATAATAGCACATTAACAGGAAGCTGAAACATTAATCAACACCAGTAAGATGAACTGGCAGTGCAAATATACTACAAAGCAACTCTGCAAGATCATTCTACTTTGCATCGTTCATGCTAGAAGGTATTGCAGACCTTCAGCGCTCGGCATCATAGTATCTTGGTAGATTTTGAGACTTGTGTGATTTACCACAGCAGCAGACCAAGCAAATCAGTGATGAGGTGTTCAGTCATGTCAAGTGTCAATACACTGTATGACTGTGTAAATTTATAGTGACCCAGGTGAGTAAGGGCAGGCACTGGCCCTTGGGGATACAGAAGATCCCCAAACTGGGAGAAGCTGGCTGAAACAGAAGAAATACAGCTGGTGGGAGGAGCACTGTCAGGGATCCGGGTTGAGAGGATTTCTTGCTGTAACTGTGTGGAATACAGCCCTTTCTTTAAAAATCATAAAATGCCTGCTACCCAGTTGAAGAGTTTTCCTAAGAAGCAGTTTCCAAAAGAAGAGCATGTTTAGGAATGACTGTCACCAAAACCAGTCCTTAGTCCTTGAATTTATTCTCCGAGATGCGTATTTCAACAGAGGAAAGGAAAAGCTGCTTAGCCTATTGTTTACCCAATGAGTAATTACACCGTAATTAAATTTAGTTGATTGTTCTCTTTCACAGCAAGACAATCCCATTCATCACCCAAGCTTCAAGGGCATCCGTAAATCTGTGTATAAAGATTAGTCTCTATGTTAGATGAATGTCCCATCTCCTAGTCAAACCCAGGTCCCATCATACGCACACACCAGCGTTCAGACTGTGACTAACACAGCCTGTTTGAAAGAGCTTAAGGCCAGATCTACAATGGTTACAGACATCCTGATATCTGAACCAGAACGGTATAGGATCCACGATCCACAATATGGCAATGTCTCTAGTGGGGAAACAGATTTCAGACATCGGTGAAGTTGTAATTAAAACAATAAGGAAAATGTACTAACATCTGCAAGACAGGTGATCTGGGATAGCCAATATGACAAATTCGAGCCAGCCATTCTAAGGAAATCAGACGCACAAGAGCGCAGATCCAAGCACATACTGAAAAGTAAGTGTTTTGGCTCATGACGATAAAAGCGAGACCATCAGGACATCCTTTCAGGCAGATGTGCTGTTCAAAGAAAAGCACTACACCAGGGGAAGTAAAATGAATAATGAATCACTCACAAGAAGAAATACTGTTGAATTCTTTTAATAACACTAGGAAAATATCATAGTATTAAAATCCTGCACGGGATCCTCAAAGGGTTATTTTGGTTGGAATTTCTTTGTGTTTAGGAACCAAACTTTTTTTCCCAATTGTGTTTTCTTTTAAACCAACTACTCCTTTACAACGGTATTTCCAGTTAAAACACAGCTAACCTATAAATACCTGAATACCACAACACACATTGTGTGCGTGGGTTTTGTTTAAATCTTAGCGGAAATAATGGTAAATCTATTCAACACGGGGAAGCAAACGTCAATTTGTTAAGCGGGGAATGTAACAGCCAGTAAAGAATACATTGCATACATAATACAGAAGGAAAAAAAAAATTATCATCTGGAGTATGTGAAATTACACTGATTTTGCACCTTAAACCTATTAGAAGTTACTCTGTTGGCCAATACTAATCCACTGAAGAAGCAGAATGTTGGTCAGAAGTCTAACGTTTCCTGTACCAGCACAGAGAGAATATAAGCAGTCCAATGCTGTTAAAAGAAAACATGAAATCCAGCTCATGTTTCTGGTTAGGGATCGATTTCTTCGGGAACTACTGTTAACATAACATCTTCGTTGCCCCTGCGTACGACCATGTTCAACGTACTGTCCTTTTTAATAATGTCACTGACATCACTGGCTGAACTTATCGACTGTCCATTGATGCTTATAATCACATCGTTGTCCTTCAGGCCACCACTGAAAATACAAAGCAGCAATGTATTATTATAATTGCTATTTTATTGTCTTTAGTTTATTGTTTAAAAAAAAAAAAAAAAAACCAAACCAAAGATTGTTGGATTTTTCCTATTTCCCACCCAACGGCAGTCGCACAGAGACGCAGCGGGCATGCAAAAAGCAATCAGAATTTATGAAGCGGTGAAGATTACAACACAATGCAGAAACCTCAGAAAATGGGATGGAGGTACAAGCATGATGAATCCCGTATTACGCTGTCTTTAAAGGAATTCACTATTGCAAATAGCTCAGTAATTCTGCAATAAGGATCCTACAGGCTGGTTCGGTAGAAGAGATAGAAGTATATTTTTCTTTTAAAATAATTGCAACAAGGCAGTCATTTCAGGGGGGAGCTTTTCCAAGCTTTGATTCACATATACACAGCAAAGCAATCTGAGTGGCACTGCGTGTTAACGCATGAGGAATTTCAGTCCCGGATCCATCCTGTTCTCCATGCATAGCTTATTGGCAGCCACTTCACTTTACCTCCGTGTCTTAAACCTGAGCAGAATAACACATGCAGCCCACTCACCAAAAATGCATGTGCGTCCTTCCCCTTGCCCGCCTGCCCATAGTTCTCAGAACCCCTTCTCCTGATCTCAGCACCATAAGCAAACCGAAACCGAAACCCTCCGGACTCAAAGCAAGATGGGGCAGAACCAGAGCCGACATGGCAAGACTTCCCTGCCCGGGGCCGCGGGTCTCTGCCCGAGCTGGCTGAGACTACTGCTGGGACCGAGACGGGGTGGTGAGGGATACCATCGACCACAACGTCTTGCCCAGTCTTGCACAACGATCTGGCTCCCAGTTATGGAAATATTAACCAAGTAACCAGATCAGACATGATTCAGCCCTTCAGCATAATCCTTCTTCACAAAACCACAGAGCAGTCATCGGCCCCTTCCGCCCGCAGAAAACGCCTTACATGAGTGTCTCCTGCAAGCAGGATGCCTTGGCCAACGTTTGCAACAAATCCGGTTGCCTACCAAAGGCATGGCTTAAAACATTTTCATGGGAGAAACCATTCAGATTATCTTGGTCTCTCATGCAGCATCTCCTCTCGACTCACACCCAGGACAGGTCACTGCAGAACTGCTCCGTTCCCCTACCAGCAGGTCTACACAACTGTCATCAGAGAGGAAGTCAGCAAAATGGGGAAAGCCATAGGCCAGGGGCAAGGAGTGGGGAGACAGAGCAAACATGGGCTGCATTTTAATTGCCAAGCCAGCCCTGGGATGGAGCATCCTGATTTGAGTTTGCCTTCAAGTTACAAGGCTACATTGACTCACATTTCTTCTACCTCGCTCATGTCCTTCTCCCACTCTCAGCTAACTATCATCTATACTCCGATAATGATTTTTCTGCACCTTCAGGTTGGACCTGCATGTCAAGGCAGTAAGTTCAGTCCCACACAGGAGCAGCCACGTTATTCCTACGCTAACTGCAGTTTGATTTCACATTACAAACACCAGCATTCTGCATGAACAGCGCTGCCAACCAGAATTACCTACAAAAAGCAGCAGTAATTTAGAAAGCAAGCCAGACAGCTAACACTGTATATCTTACAGTGGCGTCCAAACTGCAACAAAAAGACATCGTCCAGCCATCCTCGCAGCCTCCCTCAGAGATAACATATCCCTGCTCCAAGCAGCTTTCTGCCAACATGCCTTTGGTGCTGCACACACCTCTTTCTTGCCACAAAGATTTACTCTTCTCTTAAATGATCTCCTTTCAGAAAATGAACAAGTTTTCTTATTTCCTACCCTAGATTACTAAGCGGGTTTGTATTAACCAGACTCTGAAGGGAAAGTGTCTCCAGCAAGAACTAGCCAGACCAGTGCCGGTGACCACAGACCAGATGCCGTACTTCAGCCAGGCATCTCGTGAAGTGAGAGGTTCATCAGCAGGTGAGGTTCTGAGCAAAGACGAAGAAAAAGATCAGTTGGTCAAAACCAAAAGCTCTTCCTGACAAAGCTCTTGCATGGGAGTGTCTCCTGCCAAGGGAGGATTTCATCCTCAATGGAGGAACGCCAGGAGAGCTGGTGGGTTTGCCCAACACTGAGGTGCTTCACAAGGTGGGAGCAAAGCTTCTCCCTCGCTCTCCTACAGGAGGAACCAGCAGGGCCGTGGAGAGCACACACAAGCGAACATCTTTATTCAGCACTGGCAATGGTACAACAGATGTCTTGGAAGCAATCGTTGAGAAAAACGAAAATTGAGCTTTCACGCCCACTGAATCCTTGTCTTTTCGGCCAGGAATGCTGACAGGGCTTCGCTGCAATACCCTGATATGTTCGCAATATTGCCCATCGGGGACCGGACTGAAACCACAAACTGATTTCCAGCAGACAACCTAATAGCTATCAGATGGTTGTAATTTTGTTAATTTAGCATAATCAAGATAGCCAGTTAAGCAGGGAACATTCTCCATCATTAGCCCCTTAAGTCAGTGGCAGTGGTTTTGAGAAAAAAGTAGTTCAACTTACGCTTCAGCTGGTGTTTCTGGAATTACTTCAATAACATAGGCCCCAGAGACAACATCAGGAAAGTCTTTATGGCGATCCTTCAGCTCTCTAGCTTTGCTGGAAAACGAAAAAAACAGCAACAAAAGTATTTTGACATAATGGGGGGGGCAAAAAAAAAATCACACATTTTTACTTAGGTAACTCACTTAACATTCACTAACTGAGGTATTTTACACATGGTGATGTGACACTTCACAATTCATTTTAACCCTTAAAAGTAGTTCAAGAATTGTTACCCTTTTTGCATGCATACAGCTTTTTAATGCCTTTTTCTGGTAAAAGCAATTATTTCAATAGATACAGAGGACCAGAGCTGAAACATTTCGAAACTCGGTGATTACTTTAGAACTAGCAGATCCTGAACACCTAAAAAAACCCCTTCAGTTTCAGTGTTTTGTTATACCCCCAAACCTGCACATGTGAAAACTTCTGGTTTATTTCTACAGGACGTAGTATCACCTGCTCATGAGACGTTTCCGGTTTGAATATGAATAAGCAAGTCCACACAAAAGCTTCATGTTACAATAAGTGAATTGTTTAATGAAAATAATTTTATAGAAATGGAAATATGCACGTAGTTGCTGTAATTCTTGAAAACATACTGTCCTGTTTTCTCCTTGACCCACATGCCAGCACAGAACAGAAGGCAACAACACTAACAGAACCCTGGGACAAACTGACGATCGTTAGCATTAAGGAAAAGAAAAAGCCAGGGAGTTAATTTAAAAACTAGCTCGTACAAGAGTCTACAGGACAGTTCAACCACGTAGCAGATACAGAGAACAAGGTAGGGAAAATTGGCTGCGACTTGTCACCAGCACCTACAGAAGCACACGCTTCCAGTTCATCCTCCTGGTTGTTTCTGCAGATCATGAGCTTGTGGAAAGGTGAGGAACCACTGCTTTTACTTACCTAGGAGTTAGGGACATCATTCGTATGCCAATGTATTTCTTTTTGGTTATAGCTTTTCCTACAAAAAGGAAAACAAGTCTTGATCAATTGCTCTTACCAAAAGAGCCTCAATGGCTGTTGACTTTCTGGTTTATTATTTCTCTTTCAAAGCAGTGAAGTACAGTACCTTTAGCTTGTCTGTCATGGGATTCAGTTAGGAACTTTTTGATTTTATCTGATGGGATAGCAAACGAGATCCCTGCTGTAACTTTTAATGTGTTGATTCCTATGACTTCACCATCCTGGAGAAATAAGAAATTGTTATCAGCAAACGTGAAACATCTTGAAGAGAAATGGATGATCTCTTCCAAGCAATCACATACAACGCATTCCACAGTTGGTTTTCAATTTTCTAAATAGTTTCTTTAAGTCTAATTTCTCTGAATCATCTATTGATAAAAAACTTCTACAGTTTTGGAGAGCTGATGGGGATGTTCATATTGCCACAAGCAGACGAGAGATCAGAATCGGGCCGCTCTCCTGCTTGCAGCAGATGAGCAACATATTCTACAGGCAATTTCAGCCTGTTTATTTCAGCAGGCACTGCGTGAAGTGTGGCATCAATTGATTCTGAGCAAATACTGCATAATAATATAAAGAAAAATGACAGTTCACCAAAAATCAAAGTTTTTCCCGGTTATGCGGCTCTGAGAGAGAATTTCAGATTAAACATCTCTGCTATCACCTGAGGATTTGAACACTTCTGAAATCTCAGCAGCTTCCATCCCTGATCTATCCCAGACAAAAACTATCCAACTACAAATTTTAAAACGGAGGTTACTGGTGCTGAAACTCTACTGCACATCAAAAAAAAAAATTGCCAAATCTACAAGGCAGAAACTCGGACTAGTTCTTTCTTCCGATTTGTGCCGTCCCTCATTGAGGACCATTGCTGCTCCTCCATTCGACCCCACGTGCCCCCACCCGAGAGCTCTCACACAGCAGTTGGGTTGTGCAACCTGCTGCAGTTGTTCTCTCTTGGGCTTACCCACAGCTGCTGTAAGGTCATAGAATCACAGAATGGTTTGGGTTGGAAGGGACCTTAACGGTCATCTCGTTCCAACCCCCTGCCATGGGCAGGGACACCTCCCACCAGCCCAGGTTGCTCCAAGCCCCGTCCAACCTGGCCTTGAACACCTCCAGGGATGGGGCATAGTCAGCTCTGACTACTTTCTACTTTCTAGCAAATAAACCCGAATGTCCTGATAAATAATACATGGGTTTTTCAACACCCACAGTGTGGTTCAAAATAAAGGGGTAGATTTTTTTTGAATCATTAAGCTGAGCGTCAGTATGCATAAAAAAGGTGCCAGCTGCATGGTATACAGTGAGTGCAAATGTCTCAACTTTAAAATGTGCTTTTTAGTTTTTGCAAGGCACGAGCAAAAAAAATTGGGCATTACGTTTGTTCAAAACTATGCAAACCATAAACACCTTAAATATTGAAATCCAAGCATATCTTGCGATTTGCCAACATAAACACTGACAAGTGATTAGTAAGAACCATGTGAATTTTGTGTAGTCAACCAGATATTGCAAGCTCTGAATCACATTTCTGGTGTAAGGTTTTGTTTGTTTGTTGGTTTGGGTGGGTTTTTTGTTTTGTTTTTAAACTAAAAAGTAATAAGCTTGGCACTAAGCAAACTTAAAGAAACTCTTACCAGATTTACTAAGGGTCCTCCGGAGTTTCCATACTGAAAATAAACATATGGCAAGAACATGTTTTAATATCTACCTCTTAACTCATGGCAAGCAAAACATAAAAGAAATTTTTGAAATATTTCTTTCGTAATTTTTTCATTGTCTATTAAATATGTGCAATAGACAGTCTTAACATCCAAACCCGTTAACTACACTTAGCTTCATTGCTTTTAGCTAAGCTTGGCAAGTCGTTAGTCCTTCTTCTCTTGCCAGGGTAAGTTAAGAAATCCAAGGTTTTTCTTTTGTTTTAATAGTACCACACTAGCAACTTAGAAGATTTTAGGACAGCTCTGGGAGCTGTTAGTGAAGATTTCTTACAAGGCCAACAGTAGAAGTACAAAAACTATTGTTTTGCCTTTATGCAGAAATAAACTTGAATCCTTAAACTAAGCTTGGCTTCCTTTTAGAAAACATGATGGATTTCGAAAAGATACTTATTCGCCAGAGAATATTGCCTCCTCCCTTGTAACTTGCAAGAATTTTGAAGTCAAGGCAGATATTGTACTTGGTGTGGTTCCTTGGGGGATTTTTAAACAACAATCAAGTGCTGCTGCACTGCAGATGTCCATATTTACATGGATAAAAGAAACGCCAACTGTGCTCACTGTTCTTCAGAATTGTATCACTGGTGAGATTTTCAAAGCAGCTATTCAAGAAATTTAAGAGGTGCAGGGGACAAGGCTCAGAGCGGGACATACGTTGATGATGGCATCGGTCTGAATATAGTCCATATCGGAGTTGCGAAGCCCCAGCTCCTTCCCTCCACGCTGAGTGGTACTGACGATCCCCGTGGTCACTGTGTTTTGAAGGGAAAATGGACTTCCAATCGCGACCACAAATTCTCCTGGCCTCAAGTCTGCAGACTGCCCCAGCAGAAGAACTGGCAATTTACCCTACAAATAAAAATAAAGGTTTTTTTTTTTAAAAAAAAATATTCAAATGCTGTTAAGACACTACTACACTGGTACAACAAATTCTACAGAAACATGAATACATTAGTAAAGCAGAAGGAAAGAGAGAGGGTTTTTATCCCTTGGGGATTTTGTTTGCTGTGTTTTATTTAATTATTTCATGTGGTTCTGTACAGAAACATCCCAATGAACTTCTGCTCTAAAGAGTGGGCTCTTTAGGCTGCAGAGTACTTTTTCCACAACAGGTACACATTTGATCAAAAACAATTAAAAGACCAAAGGAATATTTATGCTCTGCTGTATAAAGCAAACATCTGATGATACTAGGAATGAGTTGTTTCCAACAGCTTCTTGAAATAATCAGCCAACAGCTGCTGAAGTAAAAATAATGCATTGTTTAAGAGTGAACACTAAGGAGTCATGAAAGCAACAGCCAAAGTGTATCAAACATGAATATGTATAGTTAAAAGCGTTTTACATTCTCATAAGACACGAGCTAATGTTTCATCTTACTTTTTTTTCAGTGGAGTATCTCTTCTAAATAATTATATTGCCTCCTACATACACTGATGTCTTCTTCTTTAGATGTTCGGATTTAAAGACTTTATGGTATTTTTCTGCTATGACAGTAGGGGATACCATTATATTTTCCTTTCAAGATCCTATCTCTAAACATATTAACTATCACATTATTGAAGACACTCCCACTAAGACACAAAACATTCTTAAAATCCAGCATCAATAGAGATTGCTGCAATTTACAGCAATTAAAAAAGAAAAGGGAGGGAAGGTTGAATCTACACACCCTTGTCAATGCGATGGATCAAGGGAACCAAGTATGGTTTCTCCAAGGCACATTGGATCTGCACAGGAACTGAACTGGCTGGATAACAGACGATTCAAGCTAGACCACTAACACCCCTGCAGCAATCAGAAAACTGCTGGGAAGTTCTTAAGGCCTCCTGCTCACCAAGTAATTAAGGGTGTTCTGAAACAGATCCTGTTTTAAATAAATACTTTGTCTTTATTTATCACCTGCCTGTAAAATACTCATTGAGTGCCATTTCGCCTTTTCTTCGCATTATTAAAAATCAGTCTTTACCCTTTCAGTGATGTAACACTTTTTTTAACCTTGTTACCTTTAATCACTTGTCCAAATGATCCTTGAATCATTGGATCCTTGAAGCTAAATACCTCCCCAGGTCTTTAACTACACATTTAATCATCAATATGGCGGCTGTGCCACCTTGCAGCAAGACCTAGACAGGCTAGAGAGTTGGGCGCAGAGGAACCTAATGAAATTCAACAAGGGCAAGTGTAGGGTCCTGCACCTGGGGAGGAATATCCCCATGCATTCATACAGGTTAGGGGCTGACCTGCTGGAAAGCAGCTCTACGGAGAGAGACCTGGGAGTCCTGGTGGACAAGTTGACCATGAGACACCAATGTGCCCTTGTGGCCAAGGCAGCCAATGGTCTCCTAGGGTGCATTACAAAGATCCTGGCCAGCAGGTCGAGGGAGATCATCCTCCCCCTCTACTCTGCCCTGGTCAGGCCACATCTGGAGTACTGTGTCCAGTCCTGGGCCCCCCAGTTCAAGAAGAACAAGGAACTACTGGAGAGAGTCCAGCAGAGGGCTACAAAGATGATCAAGGGAATGGACCACCTCTCTTATCAGGAAAGACTGAGAGACCTGTTTAGCCTGGAAAAGAGAAGGCTGAGAGGGGATCTCATCAATGCTTATCAGTCTCTAAAGGGCGGGTGGCAAGAGGATGAGGCCAGACTCTTTTCAGCGGTGCCCAGTGACAGGACAAGGGTCAAAGAGCACAAGCTGGAACACGGGAGATTCCATCTGAACATGAGGAAAAACTTTACTTTGAGGGTGACAGAGCACTGGCACAGGCTGCCCAGAGAGGCTGTGGAGTCTCCTTCTCTGAAGATATTCAAAACCCGCCGAGGTGTGTTCATGCCAACCTGTTGTAGGTGGCCCTGCTTTGGCATGGGAGGTGGACTAGATGATCTCCAGAGGTCCTTTCCAACCCCAACTATTCTGTGATTCTGTGATCATGTCACTAGACAATTTATATTACCATCAGTGGACCTGGACACATAAATTCAGGTTTCCACTTAAGGATTTGGAGGATCAGGAGGTTACCAATCCTGAAATCAAAACAGAAGTCTGGAAGGATGTATCTTTTGTTTGACAAACCTAACTTTGCCATAGCTTTTCTCCAAGCTTGCCCCATTTCAAAATTCTTTCATTTGCTCAACAAATCCAGCCCCAAAAGGAAAAGCCATCAGTATAAATTTTCAGAAGAGGGCGGTGATTCTAGATGCAGTAGAAGCCCCACCTAGAGATTAACTTAAACCAATTTCCAAGGAGTGGATAACATAATGACTTTATTAAAAATCAGCGTACCTTCAAGGTATTCTTGAGCAGTCTACCTAAAATGGAGGTACAAATTGGCTTAATACCCCTTCTTATAATTCATTCCTTCTGTAAAACTTGTAAAGGTGCCTTTTTCATCCCATACCTGTTCTAAAGCGCACAGATTAATGTGCCTATACTTGATGAGATCATAAAGCTATATACTGTATGCTCACATAGCAAAGAAACAAGGCAATATTTAGGATGACCTGATTATTTGTACAGATGCCCCAGTTAGTAGTAATTTTGTTCGAGAAGTTAACAGAAGATGACTCCTTACTGAATTTTGGCAAACAGAAAAATATTACATGTTTAAATTGGAAATCAAGAGCTAGCTCTTTAGGGGTCTTTTATCACCAGCAGTTTGAAAGCCTGTATCAATGAGTCACCTTTAGGGACAAAAATCTAAAAAAATCTAAACTAACCCAAATGCCCATCACTTTGTATTTTTCACCTACAGTTTTATTTCAAATATCCCAAGAGATACATGATGTCTGTAAAGTACAAAGTAAAAAAATAAAGGCATCAGTCATCACTATATGCTGCTGCAAATACAGAAGTTATGGTTTTAATATTTAACAAGCCTGATCCTGTGTATCCCTTTATCCAACTTTGTTACAATTCCACCAGCAAAATTTTACTCAGATGAACAGATTGTTTCAATAAAACTCATTGCCAAATCCCAGACAGGATAAGATGCTCTATGGAAACTTATCCTTCAGTCTCCAGACAGCAAGAAAATAATTAACCAACTGCTTGTTAAACAGAATCAGTTGGAAGAGCAACAGAATAAGCAACACAGTAAGGAGCGAAACATTTCCCTTTCTAATTATCTTTCAGAGGAAAGTTTTCACAACCAGCAATGCCTTACTAGTAAATTATAATTATCCATCCTCCCTATCAGTGCCACAGCCATAGATAAACCCAGCCAAGGCTGTGGTTTAATTCTGAGACGGATTCAAGGGCGATACCCGGTTTCCCCATCGTCTTTGCAGGGCAGCAGACGAGCAGCAGCATCCGCAGGCAACACCGCTGAGCAGTTCATAATATCAGACCACAGCCCTGACTCCAAGGGACCTCTCCAGTACAGCGGGGAAGAGGCAGCTACGATTAGCTGTGCTGGGAAGCACGCAGTACATGCAACACAAACAGCCCCATATGGGTATTGTTTGGCTAGAGGGAGCACCCTGGCCCTTCCTTCTCTTGCCAGATGCTATTAAGCTTACGTAGCACGTGTTTTCAAGATGTCGTTGGTCAAGAAGAGCATCTCTTTTTGGCACTGCTTTTCCTTATTTAAAAAAAAAAAAGAGAAGAAAAGAAACAAACCACAAAAATTGGTTTTTGTTTGTATCCCAGTGCACTGAAAATGGATACTTTATAGACATTTATCAGCGAATGAAACATAGACAAGCAAAATAAAATAGAAATATTTTTTTCTTCATTAACAGAAAAAAAAAGATTGGTCGTGTACAAAGTTAAAAATTTATACAACATTCCTGAGTTATAAAAACAATCACAAAGCCAAAATCGCATTTGGCAGCAGAAAGAAAAAACATGAACTATCTCTGACTAATACAATTATTTTTGATTCTGCTGAGTTTTCAAGCCTGTGCCTATACTAGCTAGGCTCCAGTTCAAAGTCTAACACTGTATGGATTGGCTGTGGGTCATCCGTGTGATTCAACACGCCTTCTGGAAAGAGTCTGGCTAACCTTTCCTTTGCTAGGAACAAAAATCAATTGCAAAAATTGCACTGCTCTGCACACATGATGAAAGATAGCTTTGGAAAACATCTTCTCTATGCAATACATTTCTAGAAGAGCTATAGTCTTACGCAAAAATACACTATCTCAAGATAACTACAAAAGTAACAAATGCATTTGATTTGTCATCTTCTGTTAACCAAAAGAATTAATTTTTACCTGTTACGTAGCCCTGTGCCATGGGGAGGGGATGAGAGGACCACCCACATGGGTATCTACCACACTTAGAGAACAAGAAGGATGCTGAGCACAGGTGAAAAAGGGCTCCAAGGTCTGGGAGTCTTCACGGTAAATGAAAATCAGTGGAGTTTGTGTCCTACTTGAAACGCTACTCCTTACGATTTCACAGTGTGCTGCAGAGTTTACTAACAGCACTGCATGGAAATACTCTCATTAGTGCCTCTACAAGTAAATGCCATGAAAAATTGGTTCTGATGAATACAGGTGTAGTAGTGGCTTTAAATTTCGTGTTTTCTCTCTAAAAAAGCTTAAAAATAACGTTGCCACATTCAGAACTAAACTTTCCATTATCAAAAAAAAACCCCAAGTGTTTATTTAAATTGTAGAGGTGGTTTTGAAGTGAAATCAGGATAAAACCAATAAAAATCCCTGGGCATCAAGTGATCGAGTGGGAAGTACGTCCTTCTGCAGCCCCCGAGGAGAGGGCTGGAACTGCAAGGCAAGCAGTCAGAGCAGTGGTTGTAACCAGAATGGTATCAGAACACCCTGCCTGTGTCCTCACACCCTTCCACTGGTGAGGTCCTGCCTGGGATGTCCAGGCAGTCCTTGTAAG